AACAGTTACATCCTTGCCATGCCGCTCTATAAAACACATCTTTATGACACTCTGTCCCCATTCACTCGATGAAATATAAAACATGTTAATCTCTGATTAAAGTTTTCAAGAAAGGTCTTGGCAAAATGATCCATATTATTGCATGGGGCAGGGGAGGGACATCTAAGAGATCATTATTTTACTATGCTATCAACAATGTTCCTCACTTTGTTTTCAGGAAAGTAAATTAATTAATTGACATATAGCAAACATTTGGCTAATGTAGCTATTGCTACGTAGGAGTGTCCTTGGCTGTGGGACAACAGTGGTTTTTCCTCCATCACTCCTCCTGACCATGAGTAGATGTGACATGGTGGTCAGTGCATTAATTAGGGCTTACCTGGTGAAGCGCACTTTGCAGATGGCGCACTCGTAGGGCTTCTCTCCCGTGTGAGTGCGGATGTGGCGGGGTAGCTTTCCTGCTCCCTGGATGACCTTGGAGCAGATGGGGCACTTCTGGAAGGCCTTGGAGCGCATCTTCCTCTCCCCTCCGACCCCACCTCTCTCTTCTCCTCCTCTTCCTCCCCTCTCTCCTCCCCCTCTATCTTGGCTGGAGCCGCCCCGTGCTGCCCAGCGGGGCAGCAGTCCCTGTGAGACGGCGGCGTCGGCGGCGTCGTCCTCATGCTGCGTGCTGTTAAAGTAATTCAAGTAAAACTCCACGTCCGGGTCCTCCCCCTCCCCCGGCTCCTCCCCGGCCGCGGCCCGCTCCTTCTGCCTCTCGATGGAGTCCATCATCTGCTGCAGGAGGGCGCTGGCTGAGCCTCTCTCCCCATCCCGTATGCACTCTTCCTCCCCCTCCTCCTCCGGCTCCAGTTTGGGCTCTGTTGGGAGGTAGAAGTGGCCGTTCTGGGCTGGGCGATAGAAAGAGGCATCTGGCCCTCCTCCGTTCCCCCTGGCCCAGGTCAGCATGTCCCTGCGGCTCTCAGAGTGATCCACCTCCACTTGGTCCTCCTCATCCTCATCATCTGGGTCCTGTGTGGCGGCCTGGGCAAGGTCCAGGGGAGAGCAGTACTCGCTGGGGCCCCCGGGGGCCCCGTTGCTGTGGGCCCCGTTGTCATGGTTAAAGTGCAGGTGTGTGGGCATGTCCCTGAGCTCTGGCGTGCTGCAGCTGCTACTCCAGTGGGCCCCTCTCTGGAAGTATTCTAGATACTCCCGGGCCCGAAGTCGATTCCCCTGCTGTCCCCATCTTCCTCCACCCTTCCCTCCCTCCCCCTCATCATCATCATCCTCTCCTCGCTCACTGCCCCCCTATGAAAAAACAAAACAGGACTCCATAACTCTCATACACTCACGATCATACTCAAACACACACACAACAGAAGCACACATGACCATGAATATGACCACGCTACTTCGATTCTACATTTTCAAGCGTAGCATGTAACTGCAATATGCTTAGTCTGTAGAATGCAGCTTGTGAAAGAGCACGCTGTCCTGAGACTCAGAGACTGATGTTGGCCCAGCATGGGTAAGTGTTAAAAGTTCAGTGTTATTGTGACACCAGGGTGTGGATGTGTGTGAGAGAGAGAGATTAATGAAGGGCATGATGTAAGCGTGCTGACTATGTGATGGCCAAAGACTGATGATGGAGTGTTTGTTTGTTAGCGTGACGCGAGACAGAGGTTGTGTGGTACGTGGTCTATGGTGGCGCAGTTGGATGGAAATCAAGAATGACACTTACAACACAATAGTTGTAACTCAAAACAAGAGTGGTTTGACTGATTTCCACATAGGCCACACTAAATACATGTATTTTAACTGTAAGTCGCTTTGGACAAAATCGTTTGCTAAGTGGCTATATTTTGATGCAGATCTACCCACAGGGAGACATACTAGTAAAGGCCATGTGATGGGATGTAATGATAGGACAGAGACTGTTGACGGAGTGTTAGTTAGTGTTGTCATGACGACCAGCCTACCGGCGGGGAGAGCACTTTGGTGTCCAGCAGGTGAGTGCAGACTTCCTGGACGGGCGGGATCTCCAGCAGGCGGGCGGCGGCCAGGATGTCTCCCACGGAGCTGTGGCTGACCGTCAGCGTGGCTGTGTAGGCAAAGTCCAGCAGGGCGCCCAGGGCCTCGGCCGTCACAAAGTCTATGGTGTAGACTTTCTGCTGGTTGGCGGTGGGGCCCGAGGTGAACAGCTTGTGGAAGTAGGAGCTGCAAGATGCCAGGATTGAGCGGTGGGCAGTGAACTCCCTATCCTGGGTGATCAGGAGCACGTCGCACAGCAGGCCGCTGAGGCGCTGCTTGTTCAGACTGCCCAGGATGTCTGCGCTGTGCTCGGGGAAGGGGATGCCCACTGGGCCTTCCTCCGCTGCCTCCCCTCCCCCCCAACCCCTGAGCCGCCGCCCGCCCCTCCCACCGGCTCCCGACGACATCTTCCACCAGCCTGCCGCCGAGCCGCCAATCACAGCCGCCGCCCGCGTGTCCGTCCTGCCGTCTGTCCGTCTGCCTGTCTGAGGGAGGAAGAGGAGAAAAGGAAGAGGGGGAGAGGAAGAGGAGGAGAGGATCAGTTCTCAGTCTTTAAGACACACATATGCTCAATTCAATTCCTAGCCAATACTCCTTGGGATTGGATAGGTACAATATTACAGTAGCAATGCATGGTAGGCATTGGGGTAAGGGCTGGGGGTTATTTTGAAATTGCAGTAATTTCAAAGTGCTCTGACAAGCCTCAGCCTTCACACCGGAGACAATACATGAAAATAATATTGGCAAGAGTTGCATGTGGGCAATTTCACGGTAACGGAATTAGTCTGATTCCAATTTTATACTTTAAAAATGTATGCCAAACTAAAACTATTGATTTAACAGTTAAACAAACCATAAAACTCTATGCACAAGGACTACTTTGAACAATTTACACAGAACATTTCAGAAAAACACATTTACTGGAAGAACTGAATTATGGTAAATTCTGAATTATGGTAAAATCCCCCTCAGTTTTTTATGCGACTATGTTTTCAAAAAACTCTTAAATATCTGCTCCGAATTAAGAATCAAAGATGCCTGCAGAGAGAATGGGGTGTCAGCTATGATATGATAACTTGAGTTTAAAAAAAGTATATTTTGGTTATTGAACTACAGTAAGTGAAGTGAATTTACAACCGTTAATGGAATTACGGTAACAGAATTAGATCATGGATCCCTGATCTGTACTATACAGAAATGCTTAATTCTGGATATGAATATCATTATCTTCATGGTGATGTATCCTGAATAGGTACACAAAGGTAGAAATATGCAATTCCTTATTTTGCCTATTTGGCTATTATTCTAAAGACCAGCTATTATTCTAAATGAGCTCCTCCCCCAAAAAAGACCAAATTTGATTGGTCCAGACCACACCAAATCTGAACCAATCATAGATATCTATGTTTCACAAGTTTGAAAATCACAGTACAGCACAGTAGATATGTTCAGTACATTATACTGTACTCTACTCGTGTTTTCAACGCCACTGTATAGTACTGTACAGTGGCGGTTAGTGCCATTCAGGATTTGGGAGGACTATTCCATTCACTAGGTCAATGTAACATCGATAGGTTTAGGCTACCACATGATTATTGAATTTGCCCTATACCCATGAGGTTGCTACAACCTAGCCTACAAATGAAAGTTTATAACGTAAGTGCACAGGTCAAGAGACAAATTAGAGTAATCAAGGTGACAGACAGTGACACATTCAGTACCGCCTTGCACACTCTTGCCTGCATCGAGCTGATCTAGGGTGTAATCATTAATCCAAACTGTTACAAAATGTTCAGTTTCTATTGGATAGATTCTTGTAGGTTCCTCCCCATTTCGTTTGCTTCCGTTTAAGAAATATCTTGCAACAGAATCTGCGGTATGACTACGCCCCTGAGCACCTGTACACACAGTTAACTTTCATAGAGCCACATACAGCATGATCACTTTGCTTGTTGTATAATTCCTTCTCACATCTACACGCTCTTCTCCTCTGACCATTTCACTTCGCTTGTGTACTCTACTTTTCTTTACTTTACTGTTCTTTGTCTCTGTACTGCTGTCCAAACTTGTGAAACAGATGTCTATGATTGGTTCAGATTTGGTCCGGCCAGGGCAGACTGACCACATTTCAACTACTTTTCAACGTCCATGTACGTCCAGGATCGGTCGGTGCTCAGTGGGTGAGGATGTTTGTTACGGTAAATTGAAAGAGGGTAGGTGGTAGGTGTAATGGTAGGTGTCTGTAAGAGCTGGGAGATGTGACATTAACTGGAGAATGAATAGAGAGACAGAGAGAGGTTGTCCAGACTGTTTTCACTGTCTTGCTTAGACCACCAGACGACAGAATGAAAACAGTTATGAGCTGAACATAAGTTTGCCAGGAGGACAGTAGCAGGTGACCCAACTGTGGTTTGTGACAACTATGATTTCCCATTGTAGCCAATTCAATTGCAGTAATTCCGTTACTGATTTATCGGTAATTCAGATACCGATTTGGTAACAGAATTAAGAGTTTTAATCACTTAATAATTCATTAAGAAAACTTGATATTAGTTAAAACACTATAATTGGTAGGTCTACCTTTACTTGTTACTTCTGTGAACTTTCATTGTCCTCCCTCATGAGGGAGAGAAATTACAAAATATCTTGAAGATATGTAGGTTTGTGGTAACGGAATTACAAGGCACAACGTTTCTTAAACTTACAGAAGGCAAACCATTTCAAAATATACAGTAAGTGTTGATATTCGTTGGCAGGGGTCTTTTCATCAACATTGTGTTTTAATGTATTTCTAATACCTTTTCTGGTATATGTATCTAAGACTCCTTTTCCATCTGTTTGACCAGAATATCAAAGCCAGAAGTTTACATACACTAAATTGACTGTGCCTTTAAACAGCTTGTAAAATTCCAGAAAATGATGTCATGGCTTTAGAAGCTTCTGATAGGCTAATTGACATCATTTGAGTCAATTGGAGGTGTACCTGTGGATGTATTTCAAGATCTACCTTCAAACTCAGTGCCTCTTTGCTTGACATTATGGGAAAATCAAAAGAAATCAGCCAAGACCTCAGAAAAAAAATTGTAGACCTCCACAAGTCTGGTTCATCCTTGGGAGCAATTTCCAAACGCCTGAAGGTACTACGTTCATCTGTACAAAAAATAATATGCAAGTATAAACACCATGGGACCACGCATGCGTCATACCGCTTAGGAAGGAGATGCGTTCTGTCTCCTAGAGATGAACGTACTTTGGTGCGAAAAGTGCAAATCAATCCCAGAACAACAGCAAAGGACCTTGTGAAGATGCTGGAGGAAACAGGTACAAAAGTATCTATGTCCACAGTAAAACAAGTCCTATATCGACATAACCTGAAAGGCCGCTCAGCAAGGAAGAAGCCACTGCTCCAAAACCGGCATAAAAAAGGCAGACTACGGTTTGCAACTGCACATGGGGACAAATATCGTACTTTTTGGAGAAATGTCCTCTGGTCTGATGAAACAAAAATAGAACTGTTTGGCCATAATAACCATCGTTATGTTTGGAGGAAAATGGGGTAGGCTTGCAAGCCGAAGAACACCATCCCAACCCCGGGACCACCCATACGTAAAAATGTATGCACACATGACTAAGTCGCTTTGGATAAAAGCGTCTGCTAAATGGCATATTATTATTATTATTATTATTATTATTATTATAAGAACGGGGGTGGCACCATCATGCTGTGGGGGTGCTTTGCTGCAGGAGGGACTGGTGCACTTCACAAAATAGATGGCGTCATGAGGAAGGAAAATTATGTGGATATATTGAAGCAACATCTCAAGACATCAGTCAGGAAGTTAAAGCTTGGTCACAAATGGGTCTTCCAAATGGACAATGACCCCAAGCATACTTCCAAAGTTGTGGCAAAATGGCTTAAGGACAACAAAGTCAAGGTATTGGAGTGGCCATCACAAAGCCCTGACCTTAATCCTATAGAAAATGTGTGGGCAGAACTGAAAAAGTGTGTGCGAGCAAGGAGGCCTACAAACCTGACTCTGTCAGGAGGAATGGGCCAAACTTCACCCAACTTATTGTGGGAAGCTTGTGGAAGGCTACCCAAAACGTTTGATCCAAGTTAAACAATTTAAAGGCAACGCTACAAAATACTAGTTGAGTGTATGTAAACTTCTGACCCACTGGGAATGTGATGAAAGAAATAAAATCTGAAATAAATAATTCTCTACTATTATTCTGACATTTCACATTCTTAAAATAAAGTGGTGATCCTAACTGACCTAAGACAGGGAATTTTTACTAGGATTAAATGTCAGGAATTGTGAAAAACTGAGTTGAAATGTATTAGCCTAAGGTGTATGTAAACTTCTGACTTCAACTGTATGCCTTTAATTTCTCAAAAATATAGACTCCGCTTTCATTTGACACCCAATTAGATATGCTCCTATGAACTTCACGTCAGTGCTCATCGGTCCTTTTAGATGGAAATGCCCATGTGTTGAAATGTTGCTTACTAATATCACAATAATATGGCTTGTCATTACCAATAATGGACCAGTTTTGACTCTGCTCACTCTGATACTAAAGATCAAATCACGTCAGAGTTACTATGGGCCGGTTACTGTGAAGAACCCAAAGTTTACAAAAATGGCTGATTTCTCTGTCAACACCCCATCACTACAGTCCTCTACAACAGTGGTTCTCATACGCGAGGGGTCGGCAGGGAACTCAGTCCAGCTTTCAACTTACTCTTGAAAGTTGTAATAGTAGAATGCAATTTCGAAATTGGGTAGTGCATAATCTGTTTTCTTGTCGTCATGTCAATCATTGCATACGTTAAACACCAGGCCCCAGAGTCCACTAAAGAGCCTGGAGGTGAGCCATGTTGTAACATCACCAACGTACAACACTACAGTTACCATGATTTCACTGACGAACAGTTATTGGCAGACTTACTGTATTTACAGACCAATCTAATAGAAAATAAAGTATAGCTAGGGCATACATCCTTCAGTGTTGAATTAGCTGTATCCGGAATGCTGGATATATTGGCCCACTGCTGAATCTATTACCATGAGAGAGAGTGAAGGGCAGTTTAAGGGAGAGCAGGGAGGATCAGAGTGCATGCTGGGAGGAGGAGCAGAGGCGGGGCTGTGCAGCAGAGTGTGCATCGCTCTGTGTCAGTTAGGGGAGGGGGAGGCTGCCGGTTACAGACCCCGTGGAAAAACTCCACTGGAGGATGACAACACGCACAAGCTGAGAGCGATCGGTATTAAAAAGGGAGGTTGTCAATCCGGTCTGAGCCGGTTACCCCACCCTGTACTGTGTGCCAAGTTTCAGGAAAGGCTGTCCCCTCGCTCACGTGTGCGAGGGGGATTAAAATTATAGACTGCAGCCTGCCTTTGCGGGGGAGGGGGGCTCAGCAACGCAAGCCCTCCCTGATTTGTCCATTTACACACACACACGAAAGCCAGTGCCCCCCCCCCCC